GGCAATGAATGTACAAATGCGCTTTACACAATTGATGTGTGTATGGATTGTGATAAGAGTTGTATGAGCCCCTAATAAAATGATTTAAAAAAATAATAATAATAATGCCCTAAGGGAAAAAAAAAGGGCATCCTTATTGAACTTTTTGGCTGCCTACATAACCTGAAATCCTTCCTAGAATAAAGTATCTGGGGGGAAGGGGGACGAGCCCTTGTCATCTGGAATGAAAATAATGGACATCATTTTAAATGCATAGCTGAACACAGAAGTAAAGGAAATCTCCAGGGCCCAAGATAGAAAGGGAAGTGGAAAAGCAGAGTAACCCAGAGTGTTTGCAGTGACAAATGGATTTTACCACACAGAACTATGAAGCCCAGGGCTTGTCCTGGGGTGAAGAATTAGGACTGACATCTGACGTGGTGCTAAAAATATTTCACCTCAGGAAAGGATAAACTAGCGTAAATGTTCCCACTGAGCGGGCGTGTTCCCACTGATTTTTCCCCCCTCTGCATTTTGTTTGAGAATATACAGAGCAAAACATACACCAATCTACATGTAAAATTTAAGTGACACTGAGTACATTCTTTTATTTTTTTAAACCATTTTATTTGGAGTTAATACAGATATCCTATCATTCCATACTTCGGCCACTCAAGTAGTATTGTACAAATGCTACCACAATAAGTTTCAAAGCATTCGTTTTCTTCCTGAATTCCTTGAGCTCTCTTTTACACCCCCAACACCACTGTCCGTCCGTGTCCCCCCACCCCCCACACACACACACCCACCTCCAAGCCTTATTCTACTTGCTGCCCCTGTAGGTTCATCAATCTTGGGAGATCAACTGGCAAGGTTTGGGTTTTCGGGTTTTTTTTGTTGTTTCTTAAACTGACAAGGTTTTAACCTTTTAAATAAGTTGTGCAGTGCAGTCATGCTCATCTTCCTTCTCCGACTTCTTTCTCCCTCATGAATTAACATTCATTCACTGCCCTCTTATTTAATTGTTGAGTCGCTATTGTCTGTTTTGTTCCAGGCACATCATTCTGTAAAAAAATGTACTCTCCTTGTTGTGAGGTGCCATTAATTTGTGAGTTCTGACTCATAGCAGCCCTGTGTTCAGCAGAACAAGAAACACTGCCCTAGGCTGAGCTTTTGTTAGTTAAGCTAATGTTTGGTTTTAAGAAAATTTTAAGGACTGTTTCTAGTTTAAGGTTTAAAAATTATCTCAAAGCAATAGTTTCAGAACTCACCTTCCATGACTGCAGAAAGTCTAGATTCCATGAGAATGTGAAATTGTGTTCTGCATATCCCTTCTATAAAGTCTGATGAAAATGCTCAGTAATGATAGCCAAGTCTCATGGCAAAGGGAGCAATTGGTCATGAATGCAGCTAGCCATACATTCCATATTCTCCTTTCTCTGTTGTTGCCAGTGAATTAGAGACTAGTTGTTGTGCTTTAAATGGCTGCTTGTGAGCGTTTAGGACCCCAGGCTCCACACAATGGTCTAGGAACTAGAACAGAAACACCAAAAGCCATCACCAGGCCAGTTATCGGGGTATCCCATGGAACTTTGACCCGAATTCTCTCAAGTCCTTGGCAGCTAGTCGTCTTTTTTTTGTCA